CCCTCGCGCCCTCCACACGCGGGCGGGCTCGGGGGGCCCCTACAGTCTCAGGGGGCCCCCGGGGGGCCCCCCGGGGGGCCCCCCAGGGTCTGGGGGCCTCCCTGTTTTGGATTGCACATCTGCTGCTAGGCGGCTGCAGCAGCAGCTGCGGGGGTTCATCAGAGCGCATGCAGCAGCAGCAGCACGGAACGCAGCAGCAGCAGCAGCAGAAGCAGCACTGTCTCAGTTCATTTGCAAGTATTCTCAAGGGGACAAAACAGCAGCAGAACTGCAGCAGCAATTGGGGGGCCCCTGGGGGCCCCCCGTGGGCCCCACAGGGGCCCCATCACTTGCTGCTGCAGGGTCCCCCCGGCTGCCTCTCTGGGAAAGGGAGATAAAGAGGGAGCAGCAGCAGCTGCTGCAGCAAGAGTACAAGCAGCAGCAGCAGCGGCGGCAGAAGCAGCGGCAGCAGCTGCAGCAGGACTTCAGGCAGCAGCAGCTGCTGCTGCTGCAGCAGGAATGTGAGACAGAAGATGAGTACTGGGAGGCCCCGGAGGCCTTCAAAGAAGCAGCAACACGAGGGCGCATCAGAGACGATTTGCTGCAGCTGCTGCAGCAGCAGCTGCAGCCCCGCTGCAGCCACACAGCAGCAGCAGCAGCAGCAGCAGCAACAGCAGCAGCAGCAAACAAAGCCAACCAAAACAAACTGCTGCCGCTCAGTGCCTTCGGCGATGTAGCGGAGATAGAAGAGAAGCTTGAGACCATAAGGGCACAAACCGAGGTTTGCTGCTGCTGCTGCTACTGCTGCTGCTACTACTACTGCTGCTGCCCTTGCTGCTGCTGCTGCTGTGCCTGTAGCTGCTTATGCTGCTAGTCCTGCTGGAGCAGCTACTGTTGCATCTTCCATTTCCTTTGTTGCTTGCTGCTGCTGTCTTCCAGTGGTGCTGCTGCTGCTACTGCTGCTGGTAGCACTGCTGCTGCTGCGCCCTAATGTCGCTGCTGCTGCTGCTGCTGCTGCGCTGTTTGCTGCTGCTGCACAGGCGAGTACTAGATGGCCCTGGGGCCCCTGGGAGGACCCCTGTGGCCGCTGGGGGCCCCCTGGCAGCAAGGGGGCCCCCAGCTGCTGCAGCAGAACCCCATATGGGGCCCCTAGCAGCTAGGGGGCCCCCCACTGCAGCAATTAAGGGGGAGGGGGGCCCCCTAGCGCACTTCCGAATATAAGACAAATGAAGGGGGCCCCAACAATGATAGATTGAGGGGCCCCGCGGGCCCCTGGGGACCCCAGGGGCCCCCAGGGGGGTTTCAGGGAACAGGAGAAATTATGGGCCCCCCGGCGGTTAGGAGAGTCTCAGGGGCCCCCATGGGGGCCCCTTGGGGGCCCCCAAGGGGGCCCCCAAGGGGCCCGCAGAGGCAAAGACGAGGCCCCTTGACTCTTAAGGCCTCGTCTTTGCCTCTGCGGCTGTGGGAGACTCTGGGGGGCTCCCTGGGGCCCCCTGGGGGCCCCTCAAGATCCCTTGAACCACAGGGTACTCTTGGGGGCCCTGGGGCCCCCAAGGGGGCCCCTGTAGAGTAGCCTGGGTACTTCCCCCAAAACTGGGGTTCTCTGGGGCCCCCGCAGCATCAGGGGGCCCCAGGGGGCCCCCTGAATTCGGGAAGGGTCTATAGGGGCCCCCTAATAGTCTTAGGGGGCCCCTGCTGCTTTTTACCCTTAGGGAAGCTGCAGCAGCAGCAGCTGCAGCAACAGCTGCAGCAACAGTGCAGCAGCAGCAAAAGCTGTTGCAGAGAAGGACCTTTATTTTGGCTTTCTTGTCGCTCAAGTTTAGGCCTGTTGAGGGTTTAGGGTTTAGGGTTTAGGCTAGCGTCTAGGCCCTCTAGACGCAAGCAGATGCAGCAGCAGCAGCAGCTGCTGCTGCACTTGTTGCTTCTAGCTCAGCAGCAAATAGTGCACCATTCAGAAGCGACGCATTGGGGGCCCCAAAGGGGGGCCCCTAAAAGAGGGGCCCCCAGAGGGGGCCCCAAAGGGGGTTGGCCCTAATGGGGCCCCCTAATGGGGATCCCGGGGGCCCCCTAAAGGGCCCCAAAGGGTCACCTGAGGGGCCCCTAAAGGGGGCCCCTCTAATGGCCCTCAGGGGGGCCCCTAGGGGGCCCCAGGGGCCCTTTTAGGGGCCCCTTTGGGGGCCCCCGAGGGGCCCCCAAAAGCGGAGAGCCTTGGGGGCCCCCAAGGGGTTTTAAAGGGCCCCTGGGGGCCCCCTAGAAAACTGGGGCTCCCCTTGGGGACTGTTGGGGGGCCCCCAGGGGGCCCCCTTAAGAGGGCCCCCTGGGACCCCCTTGGGTCTTAACTCTAAACCCTAATTGGCTTAAGTTGGAACTTAAAAGCTCAGGGGCCCCTAAACCCTCAGGCCAGAAGGGTTTAGAGTTTGGCTAGGAGGCGAATACCTTCCTCTGCTGCTGCTGCTGCTGCAGCCGTCGCAGATGCTGCTGCAGCAGCTGCTGCTGCAGCAGCTGCTGCAGCT